TAAGTTAAAAGTTGTAATTGAAAAGCCTTCCAACTTGCTCACCATTTGAACTGCAGTAATTGGTAGAAATTATTTCAGGAGGAAGCTCTAAGAAGACCTTTTGAACCAGGCTACAAGCACTACTCCTCCATCAGCTGATCAGCCAGAATTTGATTATGAACAACAGGTTTAAAAAAACTATACCTCAGTCTTCAAAACCTATTCTGACATGGTTCCATAAATACAGAAGCATCCTTTAAAATAATGACATTTGGAGTGTCCAGATTTTATGTTAAGATTAACAGCCGCCTTTTAAACAGTAGTTAGATCACTTTAAAAACACCTATTAAACTGGCATAGTAGAGGGATGAGACAAAACAGACTTGCATTGTTAAAACAAAACAAAATCAGGAACCACCTGCAAGATCTAAATTCTCCCAGACTAGCACACTTCAGTTACTTCAGCTACTCCACATGCTTTGTTTCTTCAGTTGTCTTGTAGCTGAAGCACAGTCCTACTACAGAAATCTCAGATTAACATAAAATGCACCCCACAAACTCTCAAAGACTTGTGCAATTGCAAAATAATGCTTTATGTGAAGGATTTAAAAAAAATGGTTTTGCAAGTCTTTTTGCAAGGTATCAGTAGCAAGAAGGATCTCTACAAGAACAACATTTCACTCGCGGCTATTTTAGTGACTTCAAGGTTGGAAAGAATAATTGCCAGTAAACCCTCCAGCTTTTGTAATGCTGAACTCAAGACTCACCTTACCACAGCATTACCCATCCGACACAAGTACTCTGTTCTGTGTTGTCTCAAATTACATAGCAACCTCTGCTGCAATCTATGTGAAGCAAATGAAAGATTAGTTCCTTCAGCCACACTTGCACTACTTTTCAGCTTAACTGCATATCCTTAATTTCTTACACTTAAAACAATAATAATTGAATCCTTTCATCTGTCAAAACAACCCCCTTCCGTTGCCTCCTCTTTCCTCCTCCCAACCATCCCTCATATGAAGATTTTTCTCCATGTTCCTAATTATTCTGTTTTTAACAGTGTAGCTAACATTGTACAAAATGTGTAAAGGCACAAAATAAAGAGAGATTTTCTGAATTATTATTCTCTATGTGGTTCTTGTACTTCCTGAAAGCTTCCCCCCCCCCCCC